CCCCAAAACCCCAAAACCCCAAAACCCCAAAACCCCAAAACCCCAAGCTATAATTTTTAACCGAATTTAGTATAATTCTCACTTAATGGAATCCTGATACCACTGGTTTGACGTCCTGGTGGTTGAAAACTGATTGACTATCTCTTCTTGGAAATTTTTTGATCTGAAAGTGAAGTCCTGATCAGCAATTTTATTAGGAGAGAGACTTTTGCATGAAAACTTAGGTCAGGTATAGGTAAGAATTTCACAGACCTAGTATTCTTTGCTTGCTCGACTTTCTGTTTAACATTATCATCGTTTTCTTTCTTTTTCATACCCTATTGGTTAGTGATAAGAAAGGTATAAAAGCTTAATGGACACAAAGCTGAAGGAGTTATTGAGGCTTGTAGGTCTTTTAAACACTTACACTAACCATAGAATCTACTTGACTTAGATCTTTACTTCCTCTCTTAGATTCACCTGGTTGGGGTTTAATATATCTTGAGGGGAGATATTTCTCTGGGAAATCAATTAGTTTAAAAGCCACTCGACATACAGCCTCTACAAACTCTAAGAAGTTCATTTCCATGTGCCTTTCAAATTCGAGTTCTTTGACTTGAGTCATCATTGAAACATTGAAAAGTGAGCCGATTTCTCCAGATCCAAGGGATTTGCTTTCTAATATACCTGAATTTGTAATCATTTGACTAAACTCGTCGAGACTCATAAACTTAGATTTCCCAGGCTTTCAGTACTTGCCAGAGTTTAGCTTGAAAAGTAGGTCTATTTCATCCAAATGTTCTTGGAAGGCTTCATCTATCTCTTGACACCAAAGATGGGCAAGCCTCCATTTATGACAGTTATAATTATAAAAGTGGGGGAGAAGTTTATCTTCGAATAATTTAACGACTGCTTCACTTTCAGTAATTTTTTCAGAAGTTCTTCCTTCCTTCGAAGGTTTGTAATACTTCTTTAGAGCAATCCTGACAAGGATTTCCATCAACTGGTATCTTACCAACCACCATTTGTCTGGATTTAGCTTATTTTTCTTATTTCCAGCTTTTGTAGCTGTAAATTCAAGATCTATATCACTGAGTTTTAACTCTTTCTGGTCGATAATATTAGTCTTGTTAATAATCTCAATGAAAGCATTCTGACTAATGCAGGGAACATTAGAACAAGGAGAAACACCAGCAAAGTACTTATAAACTTCTCTGATTGGGCCATAGTTTGCCTTTAAGTATTTTTGAACTTTTGCTTGCTCAGTGAGGTTTTTGATAATATTTGGAATCTTTCAGTGCGCCCAGTCATAATCAAATCATTTTGCAAGTATTTCATCATTGTCAGGTTTATATCCAAAGAAGACTGATTTTTCAAAGTCCCATTTGGGTTCTTCCTTCTCATCATCAGGCCATCCGGGCCTTACTGGTCTGGGAAATCAATCTAAACTGAGAAGATAATCATGGCTAAGTTTGACCTTCTTCTTAATTTTGTTCGTTACCACATTTGCGAAGACAATATCGATATCATTATCCTCAGGCTCTTTCTTTGGTTTATTTGTGAGATATTTCTGAACTCCATTTATAGTAAAAAAATACTCCATCTTGATTGCTGGGGTCATCCTATCAAGGGAATAAGTCCCAGTGCTTTCGTCAAACTCCATAGGATCCGGCTCAAAATTGTCAATGGAGAGATTGAGATAGACTTTATCTTTTGGAGTCATACTTTCTTTAGGCGGATTATTCACTTTCTTCGGATCAAGTTTAAATGTTACTTTGCTCCATCCCTCACATACCCATCAGTTGGATGTTGAATGAAGCTTAATCTTTTCATTAATCGCGAAGCCAGTTTCGTTATTTCCCCCAAACTTTGTGTTGAGATGAATTGCAGCTGAGTCAATATCTGCTTCCTTGAGAAATCCAAGCGCATTTACATTCATAGGCTGACTCATGAAGTGCAGGCCTAGTAAAGTATGGTTCCTTTTGAGTCCTTCTGCAATCTCTCTTCACTCATAAATGTTAAATCCTCACTGGGAGAAATCAGCATGAAGCAGTGTATCATTTACTTCAAACATTTCTCCTATCTTTGCTGCAATGTTGTGATAGTTCTTTGACAATAATTTTGAAGCATCCTGATCAGCGATCATATTTGGATCATACTCACTTTTGTCTATTATCGGCTTTTTCAACGGCTTTTTGTTTTCTCCGAGAGGATTAAAGGACATTTCAAGGGTTATAAGAGATTTATTCTCCTTTAAAGCTTCGATGATCTCAACACCTCCTCTAGGTCTAATAAAGTTCCATCTAAGATACAGTTCTTCAATGCTGTCACTGTACCTGATAAGTTCAGCAAGAGACTTGCCTCCCTTGCTGGTAATCATGTTTTGTGATAGATTAAGTACCTTTAGAATTGGTCTCGAAAGAACTGCTTCTCAGAGATCATGAATGTTTTTGTCTCCAAATCGGTTACCTTCAAGTGCAAGATTAGTCAAGTTAAAGTTTCTATTCCCAATAAGCTTTCTGTAATCAAGCTTCTTTATACCAGGGTTTAATGATATGTCAAACTCTCTAATGTTTTCGTTCCAGCATCCAATGATAGTATCAACTCCTTTCTGAGTTAGCCGATTATTCCTTAAATTCAAAGGAAGTGGCTCTTTAATAAAAGGAAGGATCTTTGATACAGCTTCAGCATACTTATCGCCCATTAAAAAATCGTTGAGCATTAATTCATTTGCCTTTCCTTTCTTCTTGGTCATTCCATAAGGCATTGCTACAATGCCTTGTTCTTGTCATGACTTGATGTACTCCAAATGAGGAGATTCCTTATTTCTATCTATTTTAGACATATCTAGAGTGTTAAAACAGTGATCTCACTTTTGTATCTGTCAAAGAACTGGTTCTTTGACAAGATTCCTCCAAAGTAATCATCTTCACTCTCACTGTGGTCTGAATCAAAGTCAACTCTGACAGAGACTTCATTGATGTTATAAGTCTCTTGGCCGTACATTGTCTTAAGAAATTCTCCATCCCCTTTAATGCATCTAGAAGGATTATTCTGTCATGCTTACCTTTGTTTGGGACTTTCGATATCTGAAAAGGATACATTGGCATTCTTTTTGTTGGGGTTCCCTCTCTTGCCATTTCTTGAATTTTTCTTATCAATTTTGCCCATCTTTATTCTGTACCCTAGAAGTTAATGCAGAAATTACTTCTTGATTTCCTACGTTTATCAATCATTTTATTGGGGAGCCTGGGAGATCTTACTGGGATACTTTTATGCTTAGTCTTTGTCCTATTTTAATGCTAGGAGGTACTCCAACCCGGACTTGTGAGAAGAAGCCCTTGTCATTGGGTTTTCTAGAAAATATATTACTTTGGCAGAAATTCATCACCAGAATGTGCACAAAGGAATTGATACTATTTATTTTCAAAAAGAGATTATCTGAAGTATAAACTTACTCCTCCGATTCATAACTGGTCTAACACTAGTATGTCCTCTATTTTTGTTGCCTGGCGGTGACCCTACAATAAATCTCCATTTCTCTTCTAATTGTTCCTTGTTTCCGACACCTTCTCTTCTAGTCCATGAAACATGAGGAGGCTTTAAATATGGGCTTTTGTTACTACTAACCATATGAGGTATTTGATTTTTCTCCCTCTCTTCTTGCTCTTTTACTCTTTTCTCGACTTCCTCCATGATCATTAATTGAAGAGGAGACATCACTTCGGTGTTATACGTTTTTATGTTAAATTATTGAGCATTATTCTCTATAAAAAGTGTTATGAATCAGGTTTAGAGGTTTTACCATGGAATTTAGACGTTAAAGATAAATAATTCATGCACTGGACAACTGTTTTTGTACAGAGTGGGTATTCAAATATGCTAAATTGTTTGCAGATAGGGCTTTTGGAGATTTATTTTCGGAATAAAAGTTCTGAAAGTATCTCAAATCTTCTTGTAAGACAAACATCCACAATAAAGATGTGTGCTAAAGTAGTACCTTTGGATCCTGGGAGGTTTTAATCTCTCTCATTTTGACCAAATCTTTATTTTTGTTTCTTGTTTTCCCAACCTGTGGAGTTTGGAGACAAATTTTTCGGTGGTTATTATTAAAATAACACTTTAATCCTCTAGAAGTAGCACTCATTCTGTTAATGTATACTTCTTTTTGGATTTCTTCTTGTCTAAGCAGGTACTTTTTGTTGTTGGAATAATCCGCAATCATTACTCTTCCATTTTTGAGCATTTTAGGTTGAATTTTATTGACAAATATTATATTCAGCTCTAAATTCATAGAATGGGGTTTTGGGGTTTTGGGGTTTTGGGGTTTTGGGGTTTTGGGG